GGTGACAGATGTCCCTTAATTATCGGCAGCGTTCCTGCTCCTTGGTCTCGGGCATTCGATTCAGAGGCTCGAGATGGAGGCCGTGCCTCGTTCGCTTTGGGTTTATTTACTAGCATCTTTCACCTATGGAAAATTCGTCATCTTGGTTTTTCCACCCTGGCTGGATCTTCACAAGAGCAGCAGGAGCAGCAGGCGGGATGGGAAGTCCCTACATGTGGGTGCCTCCACGTAAATTATGTTGCTATTTCGCAAAATTGCCCGATTTGGGGTTGGGAAGGGCAAGGAGGGACCACGCAGCGTGGCAGAGCTGGTCTGGCAAAGCAGCCRCCAAGGAAGGACCTTGATGTTCATGAGAAAGCAGCTCCACGCACTGCCGTGCTCGGGTGGTCCAGACAAAGAGAAGGACAAACGGGACCTTCTGCCTGCACTGGTATTTACAGGTCCATCCTTCCCACTTGTAAAAGTGCCCCAGAGCTGCTCTGAGCCCCATCGGGGCTGCTTCTTTCAAGGTAATCCCATCGGGAAGACCCACTTGGCCGCAGGGAAGGAAGCGCTGGAGCCCATCTCATGCCCTCGGCATGGAGATTTTTCCCTCCCATGTGTCCGGTTGATCAGGATCAGCTTCTTTGCTGCTGTTTTTGTGCCTCTTGATTTCCACACAGAAACTGGCTCTATTTTTACCCAGCTAAAGCTGATTAGATTTGCAGTAATTGGCAGGATAAACAGACACATACTGTATGCAGCAGGTTAATGCGATACATTCGGTGACCAGCAAATGCACTTAGCCCAGGCCTAGCRCAGAGAAGACGATCGAGGTAATTTATTGCACGCCTTCGTTCCTGCAAGATGCCCATTACCCGTCTCCATCCTTCCTCTCCCTGCAAGCCCATTTCCCTGGAGAGCCAAGGAGCCTCGCTGCGAAGTGCAAAACATTCCTTCATCCTCTCCTAGTGCTTTGCAGGATGGCATTAAACCCACGGACACGCAGGAATTTCTCTTTCTGGTAACTCAGGTCTTGACTTGTGTTGACCTGTGGGAGATTATTAGCGCGGAGCAGCCCTGAATAAAAAGGAAAGATGCTACTTACAACTCGTGGGCTGACCTCCTTCAAGTAATGCAATTTCCAGCCGTTTCAATCACTTTCATAAGCCTCAATCTGCCAGAAGATTAGCAACAGCCCTGCTTGCTGCAATATCGCTCTGCTCTTTAATTGGTTTTGGAGGGTAATGYAGCTAGAGACCAAGTAGATAGGAGAAAACTTTGGGACAACATCAGGTGTGTGTTATACTCCTGGAATTCAATTAACTGGGGAGGGAAAAGGAAAAATCATTGGGGTTTCCAAAGCAGCCTGTTTCCACCTTGGGAATACCAGGGATTTGCAGGGATCCTCTGGAGCCCAGGCGGCTCTTGCTTTATGAGCCATCCTTGGATAAGTTGCAAGCCGGGATGGGCCTGCCCGTTTCACACTCCTTGCACACCCTATAGGAGTGATATTCCTGGTTGCTGCTGCGAATCCAGAGCCAGGACTCCGTGCTGGAAAGGCAGGGGAATATCGGCGTGGCGGGAAGGCGGCTCCTCTATGCACTGCTGCGTTTGGAGACCTCTGGGCCGCGCAGTTTTAATCTATTTAACGCAGGCTCTGCTGGTTCTGGCTTGTTTCTGCATCAGCCCCTTGCCTGGGACCCAGCCAAGGGCTCCGCTAAGGGGACTGTGTCAAGAGGATCGTCTTTACCCGGCAGACTTGTCACCTCCTCACGCAAAGGCACTTAGTGTAAAAACATCCGTCCTCCTCAAAGCCGTGTCTGGCATTCCTTGTACCACCCTCCTTTAATTCTTGACTTATCAAGAGGGGTATTGGCGGTGCCAGCGATTGCCAGAGCTCCATGGCAGGGACAAAAGCCGATCACCAGGGTCACCTTGTCCAGCCCTGGCCTCCTCCCAGCCCTCCAGCGCTTCCAGGGAAAACCACCATTAACTATCCAGACAGCTCCTTGGCCTCCTCCTTTACAACTCTTACGAGTTATTCTATTCGGATCTGCTGGTTTAAAAATATCAGGCTCCATCAGCTTGCTGCTAACGCGCTTCCGATTTACTCTSGGAGAGTACTTCATTAGCACGTTGCCCTTTTTATTTCCAACCAGATACGAGGCAGAAACGTGCCGGGCGCTTCTGCCTTTTCTGGGTTCTTGATTAACCTCCCATTTCTGTGTAATATTGGCCTGCTGCTAATGCAAGCTTCCTTTTCCGGAATATCTTGGAGATTTTCCTTCTGCTTTCACTTCCCCAGCTTCCCAGGCCTATTAATTGTGACCARTTTCCCTTTTCTTCCTTCTGTTTTATGTATTTCTGTTTTATGTGTTAGTCTCGGTGGCTCTTTCGCTTCCCATCCAAGCCCGGGTTTTTTATTTATTATTTTTAAGCAAAGATTTCTGTCTATACTACTGCTTTGGCGAGAAAATATTCTCAAAGATTTCTCTCTTTTCAAACACATTTTTTTTTTTCCTTTAACTTCTTCCCCCAAATTGATCCAACCCGTAGTTATTTTATGCTTTGTGCAATAGAACCTTTTAAGGAACTCTCTATATTGCTGCTTCGAGCTTCACTTCATTTGCACATTAACAGATAGCACCAAACCGTGATCCTTGGTACCCAGCTGGGTGAGAAACTCATCTTCACCTGGCAAGGGGAGGTCTRATGTGGGATTCCCTCGTGTTGGATGCAATAAGGCCATAGCTTTTGCATTAASGAATTATTATTATTTTCCAGAAATCCTAAGGGTGTTTTAACACCAGCACTTTGAGACCCCTCGCTTTCACGGCCCAGGCTGAAGTCCTGAGTGATCACACAGGTTTTTATTAGAAATTGGGGATGCGGCTGCTGCAGGAAGGAGGTTGTGTGTAGGCCCCGCTCTGCTGCGGACACTTCCCATCTCATTTCCTGGGATATTGATCCCRAATCTTTCCACATCATTTATTCCATTGGCTCAGAGCCAGCTTCCRACCTTGCCCTGCTTTGGACACTGCCTCTCCTTGGCCCTCCTGCCCYGCTCGCTTCCCAGGTGGAAACAACTGCAGTTGCAGAGCCATTGTGGGCAAACTTCGTGTTTTCACCCCAAATCCCACATTATCCTTTCTCCCAGCTGGATGCTGCAGCACGCACAGAGGTGAACAGGCAYCCGGGGATGATAAGAGCATCACAGCGAGGGAAAAGCCCACCGGAATTTGGGAATGGTGTGAAGTGTAAGCTGCAATTTCCCCACATGCCTTGTGGACATGAGCAGTGCCATGGAAATACTAACTGAGCTGGAAAGGACTCTCCAAGGCAGGAGCAACCAGGGCCGTGAGTTTTCGGGTGAAACTAATTCCCAATTTGGGAAATCTGGTCAGATACAGCAGCATCTCAATGGGTGCAATGGCACCAGTAGCTGGTCCCTATAAACAGCTGGCGTCCACGGCTGGCCATAAATCAACAYGCCAATTAGTGTTTAAAGCTACTAGGAACATATAAAACTTTGGCGGAAATAATGGGAGGGGTCTGGAATTCTCTATTCTCTGCCAAATTTTTCATCTGTGTTAAAGAAAGAAAAATTTTCATCTATCTTTTTGTTTGAAACCTTTGAGGTTTCCACCCAAAGTATCTCTCCTTCATGAATAACAGGGCAGTTTGCAGGTCCTGAGTTTTCACTAAAAACCACCRAGTTTTGAACATGAGACCTTAAAACTCAGCGGTTCCTCGGTGCCTTTGCCAAGCTGGGGGCTCAGGGCAGGCTCAATCGTCCCACCTCGGCTCCAGACTAACACCTGGCAATGACTGTGGTGATGGCAGGAGGGAATTGGGATGCAGGGCACCTGGCCTAATAAATGCACGGATATTTTCCAGAAGAATCAGGTTTTCAGACATTTCGCAGGCTTTTGTTTTCAAGCAGAGCTCCCCCTTTAATCCCTGTGCATTAATACGCGTGTATGCATAGATACAGACATAGATTTAGATTTAGATTTAGATTTAGATTTAGATTCAGATTTAGATTTAGATTTGGATTTAGATTTTGGTTTCGATTTTGCTTAGATTTTGATATAGATGTAGACATGCACACAAATGCTGCAAACATCTGCATGCTGGAAAATAAGCATGTGTGTTGCAGGCCCCGCACCCTGCTCGCTCCAGGGCCAGGCACCAGCCTGGCTCTGCCGGGGGACGAATCCAGCTCTTCCACCCCCATGGAAAAAATTCCCGGGGCTGCCGTCCGGACGGCAGCGCTGGGGAACAGCGGGAGAGGTGGGAGGGAGGCCGGGGCCGTGCAGGGAGCCGCCGGCGGGGCAGGGCGCCCGGGATGCCGTGGGAAGCGGCACCACGGCGGCTCATGAATAAATAATCCGTGTTGCAGTGGCGGCGAGCGGGACCCGGCGCGGCGCCGCACCAGTCTGCGCGGAGCCGCGGCGCCGGCGCGCAAGGCCCGCGCTCGCTCCGGCGCCGCGTCCCCGCCCGCTCCATCCTCGCATCCCTGCCCGCTCCGCCGCCGCTCGCTCCATCGGCGGGCGCCTCAACCTCGGCAGCGCCGCGGGAGCAGCGAACCCCCGCAATCCACAGCAATCC